CGAGATATAGCCTCGGGCAATTCCAGCAGGTCGCGCTGCAGCCCTGTGTTTGGAGGCCTATAACTCAGAAACTATTGGTTTTATACGATAAAAACTCTATATGGTTCAACTCACAATCAGCCAACAAACATTTTGGCTATCTCGGATTCTCAATTTTTGAAAATTTTGATCACGTGACCTTTTGACGTATGTTTCGAAGAGTAACCTTGATATTTTTCCCACTGAAAGTTGCAATTTTGTCTGATGACGATTAAAGCCTTATCAATTGTCATTCATATGCGAAAATAAAAAAAGTGGATATCGCCCTGCGTTGACCTCAGGTCAGGTCATTTTTATGACCTGTCCATTATTACGAGCGGGAGCGACAGCGAGATCTCGAGAATAAAGCAAGATAGCGACAAGCGGTAAACGATGCAGGGTACAAATGGATAAGGTCTATAATTTTTACTGAGGTCATTTTCAGGTCAGGTCAAAGATGACGTCACAGGAGCAAAAAGGAAGTCAAAATTGCGGCACTACATATATATGAAGTTTTTCTCGAATAACTTTCAAGGTATCCCAGCTAGGAACAAACTAATAGCACCATCGTGATCCTCTCGTCGATCCGCATCGAAATATATGTATGTTGACCTGGAAAGGACGAAATGTCAAAAGTTGACCTTAGGTCACGTGGCGAGCGGGAGCGACTGCGAGATCTCGAGAATAAAGCAAGATAGCGACAAGCGGTAAACGGTGCAGGGTACACACGGATAAGGTCTATAATTTTTATTGAGGTCATTGTCAGGTCAGGTCAAAGATGACGTCACAGGAGCAAAAAGGAAGTCAAAATTGCGGCACTACATATACCGGGTGGCCCAGAAAAAACGTTCCCAACTTTAAATCAATATTTCTCAGAAAGTTATAAAGATACAACATTGAAACTTCGAATAGTCAATGCGGCACATATTTTCAGTAAATGGTGTGATTTTCATGGTGTTCGGTAAATAACTTTTTAAACGGTTCGTGTTTCAAGCATGCCATGTAAAAATTACTTTTTTGCACCGATGTTTACTAAAAAAAAAAAAAAAAAAATGTGAGTGAACGGGTCACTTTCACCCCGCGGCACCGCGGCCTAGAGCCATGACTTCTACTGGCAGCTAGTCTCATTGATGGTTCGGGTCTCAGGATGACACATTCCCTCAAGCAACCACGATGGCTCTGTGCCAGCGGCATCGGAAGAAGTTTCCAGTTTTCTAACCATCCGTGGCTCAAATGCTTTCCTGGCTGACATTCCTGGGAAAAGGTAGCTTTTCAACCAGTTTTTTTTTGTCATCTGCTGGCAATGTTGTTTTTCATAAGCTATTCTGTGGTCTTCTGGCACAGGAACCAGTCTGCTTTAGTTTGTTTTCCTTATCCGGTCGATTTACTGTTTGATCTACTGAAAGGAGGGTAATCAGCAGTAATCCATGCACCGTGCCACTCCTGCTCGAAACATGATTTGGTGTTGAAACGAATGACATCCATGAGCACCATTTTGGCTCAGTATTTGAATATTTGGCACATAAGTGAGACAAAAATATTTAAAATAAGAACATACGTGTTGGTTTCATTCACGTTCTCTATTTTTTATTCTTTTTTATAACGTGGGACGTCTAACCCAATCATCACTATCGTTTGACATCGGCAAAAAAAGCAAAAACGTCTTGCTTAATTCAACTTAAGATTGCCAGCTTGAAAATGATGGTATAGTATTATAATTTGGCATACCAATGCGCAAAGAAATGACGCAAACTTGATAAAAATTTTGGCTCGTTATTTGTACTCGTATTTGATATATAGGCCTCCAAAGTTCGGAACGTTTTTTCTGGGCCACCCGGTATAAAGTTTTTCTCGAATAACTTTCAAGGTATCCCAGCTAGGAACAAACTAATAGCACCATCGTGATCCTCTCGTCGATCCGCATCGAAACATATGTATGTTGACCTCGAAAGGTCGAAAGGTCAAAAGTTGACCTTAGCTCACGTGACCTAAGGTCAACTTTTGACCTTTCGACCTTTCGAGGTCAACATACATATGTTTCGATGCGGATCGACGAGAGGATCACGATGGTGATATTAGTTTATTCCTAGCTGGGATGCCTTGAAAGTTATTCGAGAAAAACTTCATATATATGCCGTGCCGCAATTTTGACTTCCTTTTTGCTCCTGTGATGTCATCTTTGAGCTGACCTGAAAATGATCTCAGTAAAAATTATAGACCTTATCCATTTGTACCCTGCACCCTTTACCGCTTGTCACTATCTTGCTTTATTCTCGAGATCTCGCTGTCGCTCCCGCTCGTAATAATGGACAGGTCATAAAAATGACCTGACCTGAGGTCAACGCAGGGCGATATCCACTTTTTTATTTTCCCATATGAATGACAATTGATAAGGCTTTAATCGTCATCAGACAAAATTGCAACTTTCAGTGGGGAAAATATCAAGGTCACTCCTCGAAAAATAGGTCAAAAGGTCACGTGATCAAAATTTCCAAAAATTTGAAATCCGAGATAGCAAAAATGTTTGTTGGTTAATTGTGAGTTGAACCATATAAAGTTTTTATCGTAGAAAACCAATAGTTTTTGAGTTATAGGCCGCCAAACATAGGGCTGCACCGCGACATCCAGGAATTGCCCGAGGCTATATCTCGGAAACCGTTGTTCGAAGAAAAAAAATCCTTGCCACAGCTGGCTTCCCCGCCCATCACAACCCATTAGACCAATTTTAAGCAAAAAATAAAATATGAGGGTGCAGGGCACTTGTCGATTTGTCGTGGAACGCCCCGTGGTTCAATGTTTTTGCGTCGAAATCGGCCGAACATGACGTCACTCTGACGTCATTTCCGGCCGTCCTATGATAGATACGAAGTCCAAATTTTGACACAAGGTGTCAAATTGATGCAGCCGAAGGTATTTTAAGTTTGGCGGCAATACGTCAAGCGGTTTAGAAGTTATTGCAGAGAAACGGGAGGGGGCTATGAATAGCCCCCCCCCCCTCCCACCCAGTGCAGTGGGGCGCGGGTTAATTGGGTGCCGTGCAGCTGCACAAGTCAGTTGGAGGTACCCCGTCGCAATTTCGCACGTGCAAGGCCCACCCTCTCGCTCGCTCCGTAAGTCGCCCCAAAAGGCGTAATACTGGTAGGTATTTTATAATGCCAACGATAAATTTATGTTCTGGGCCGAAGCTCTTAGCCGACTTAGAAACGAGACCATCCCAAAATGTTGACCTAAGCAGGGGCCTAAGTGCAAACTGATAATGCATTTTTGACCGTGGTCAATTTGCTTACTCCAGTTACTACGACACCCCTCTGGCTAATGTATTTGAATAGGCCAGGGCCAGGCATACAGTAAAGAGACAAACGTTACACCCGTTACACTATCGTAACACCTTGATTGATGCCATCGCATTGCACCATTTCCATAGCGGTCAAGACGTTGGGCAGTCACAACCGCGTAACCCCAAATGGAAAACAAAAACAAAAACCTGGAGCCTCCGAGGACACTGAGGAGAACCGATCTGTGAAAGGAAAAAAGTTCAACGGGCTAGGAATGGTTATCGGAATAGCACCGTACAGGCGTAGGGGAGAGCGGGGCCAGTTGAAACACGGGGTCAGATGAAACATGGCTTTATTTTCAACAGTATGCAACATATGACGTTGCCGACACCACTGCGCATCCGCGCTCGACCACTTCCTTTGTCAACGGCGTTTGGGCGGCAAACGGACGGTAATTTTGATTTGACACTTGTTTTTGTGTTTTTGAGGGGCGTTTGGGAGAATTCGTTTTTATGAATATTTTGTGATATCTTATATACCTTTGTTTGCTGAAAGAAGAACTCCTGGCTCCGGAATAACACCTTATTTGGCCCTTCATTCAGAATGATGCCGTCCCTCCAGCTCGTTTGACATGTGCTTTACGGCGCGTGCGAGATGCCGGGAGCGGATGGGGTCAATTGAAACGCTTCTCTGAGGGTCAGTTGAAACAGGGCCACAATCCGTTTCAATGGACCCCGGTGACCTTTGCAATGGTTATTGTTCAGGGGCTGTAAACATTAAAGGAAATAGTCCACCTTTGAAATGAGCTTTTAAACTGAAATAGTAGTTTAATAGAGCTCAATTTTTGACCCCTTTTTCTCCAGCCTTTTGCTTGAAAGCACACTATAGCCTGAGATATTTCTCATTTTCCTCATTCGCCCATTTTACCATAGTCTATGTACTTTATGTCACCTATTATGAGGAGCTTTGCACTTTTAGCTTTCCAACGACCTATTGAATGTAGCATTTGGAAAAGTAAACTGGACAAAATCTCTCCTTAAGAAAGTGGCCTTAAAGAGGAAAACATCCCATTGTTAAGGATAGGTGCAATTGACCCCATGGGCTGGTTCAATTGACCCTCGCATCGGGGTCATTTGAAACGGGCGTAGAGCTGTTTTATAAGCATACGTTTGGCAGCAAAATATGTTTGAAACATAATTTTACATATCTTAAAATAAAGCCAAAAGAGAATATTTTTCATGGTATTGTGCATTTTTCGATATGACAACTAGATCTCGCTGTGCATGTCAATATATAAAAAGTGGTTCAACTGGCCCCGCTCTCCCCTACAACCTATTTAATCGCGCTGCCGCCCTAGGTAACCTTATGCCTAGATATGCCAGCCCATGGATACCTATACCAATCAGTAAATGAGCAAAGCAACATGTTTTTGAAGTAACAATTATTGTTTAAATACTGAATTTCAATGAGGTTTGGGTAAATCTGAGGGAGCTCTAAAAATTTCTTACTTTTACTAAAGGTGGGGTCATTTTTTAACTTAATTATCACTATCTCCACTGCAAAGTAATTCTGAGCCATGCGGGGCTATGGAACACAAGTCATGACCTACAACCCACATAAAGGCGGTCGAGTGTTACCGAATGAAGCACGTGGCGAAGTCGGCCGTGAGATGTGAGCTCGGTTCAGTCCACTGAACGGTCTACTCACGGCCGGTGGTGTCTGCAGGAGGAGCCGCTGGACAGCACGGCCGGTCGTGTCTGCAGCAGGAACCGGCTGGGCAGCACGGCCGGTATCGAGCGGGCCACCTGACCGGCCACCGGGCCCCGCACGGCGCACCGACACGTGCTCTGTTGTGCCCCGTTGCCCGGACTGCGGCCCAGGGGCGCTTCCAGGCGACAGCCCGCCGCCGTACCCGAGGCTACTAACTGCGCTGCTTCTATGCCACCCGGCTCTCATGACAGCTCGTCGGTGAGCGCGTGGCTTCTCAAATATCAAGTCTCGACTGTCCCTGCAGGAGCGTCCAGCCGACACTTGCGTAAATATCTTCGACTTCTCGAGGGACAGAACAGAGACAAACAGACAAAATAGTACAAAACGGAACAAGATGCTGTTGTACCGAAGACGGGCAGTAATAATCATGTGGGTGATGTTGTCCTGAATGGTCCTGAAGTAGGTAGGGTAGAAGGTGGTAAAACACCCATACTAAGGGAAACTGATCATTTCTCGCTTACCTTGGCACGGGAGAATTATTTTTGCTAGCGCCTTCATGTGTAATTGGTCGATCAACGTTGAGAGGATTAAGACCTATTAGCTTGATTAATAAACCATAGGTTCTTCATTTTTCGAGACGCTCACAAATGTGCGTCTGCACATGTGCACAAATGTGCTACAAATATGAACGAGCGCTTTGAAACTTTCAGCGATTGATGAGAGTAGCATTATGTACCAGTATAACGCCTTTTGGGGCGATTAACGGAGCGAGCGAGAGGGTGGACCTTGCACGTGCGAAATTTCGAGGGGTACCTCCAACTAACTTGTGCACGGCACCCTACTAATCGGTCTCTAGCGATGTGCCAAATTTGAGCACAATCGGCCCAGCCGTTCTCGAGATCTGGAAGCGGCACCCTGCACGTGCGCACGTGCAAAATGGGTCCCAACTGACTTGTGCACGGCACCCTACTAACTGGTCCCTAACCGTGTACCAAATTTGAGCGCCATCGGTCCAGCCGTTCTCGAGATCTGGAAACGACCCCTGCACGTGCGCACGTGCAGTAGCACCCCAACTCTGGCACATGGATATGCAGTGCCTATAGTGGGTGCCTACCTACATGCCAAATTTCAGCGCAATCGGCCAAGTACCTAGTTACCGAGATATTGCAACAATTACGAAACTGACACATCTTCGTTTTGCACGTGGCACGTGCATAAGGGGTCACCCACATGCATCGGGAATAGTCCAATACTTGGTAGAAGGATTAATGAAGCTACCCTACAAAAATTACCGCGTGTAAATCGGTCAAGTGGTTGCTGAGATATAAGCCTCGCAAAAGCGTCCGCACGGCCGGCCGGCCGGCCGGCCGGCCGCTCATACTCAGAAATTTCCGTTAATCTAAGGAAAGACTCCGCTCGCTTCGCTCGCTCCGTAATAAAAATGTACCCGTATATCTCGGAGTTTCGATATCTGTGACCCAAGGTCAGGTCAATTTTGCGACGTTTCCATTACCTGTAAATCAACTGGGATAAAACCTAGATGCGCCTCTTTTGGATGGACGTCGTTCTAAAAAAAAATCGTTCTTTTTTTCTTTTTCTTTTTTTTTAGTTTTCTGCTGGCCCTGCCCGGGCCGTGTATTCGTGTCCACACGAGAGTCGAGACTGAACAGACAGCGGAGCACAACGTGAGCAGTCACATATCACGCCACATGGCGCTGCGTCCGATTGGTCACCCCTTTGGCGCGAATGCCTCACATTGGTGGACAGCTCGATCGGCTGATCGCGCCAGGTCACAGGCCGAGGTCACGTGACGGCGCATCGGCGGGGTTACTACTGGAAGCGATATAAGTAACGAACTGAAAAATTACGCCTAGAGAACAAAAGTAATAAAATAGGAAGCCACGGCCTAGGACACTTTCCTTTGTCCAAATTACATCTAACACCTAAATTATCCGTATGCACTGTAAACGGAGTTGTGCCCGCGCACATTAACCCTATTAGTGGCAGGGGGGCTGTTTTCATCCACCCCTCAGGTTTTTTCGGGAATATCTCCGAAACCGCTGAAGCTACGATGCTGAAATTTTCTGACTTTTCCTAAAACTAAATTGGGCACATTCCCTGAAAATTTCAAGTTCATAACTTTACCAGGGGCGGCTCCAGAGCACTGGGAATTGGGGGGTCCTATTCGTGAAGCGAGTCATTGGGCGAAGATCACGATGCTGATGTATTATAACTGTATGCACCAGTTTTACGAACAGTGAATGAAAGGTATCATGTGATAACATATACAAAGTTATTGTGCATCCTCTTTTGACACGTTTTTGCTATAATAGACGGATCCAGGCGTCCAAAAAGGGGGGTTATGTTTTACCTCCCAACATAGGTGCCCTGACACCGCCTATGCATGACCAATACAATTGTAGTCGTTCTCTCATAAGAAAATTGTAACATAACAAGACCATTACCACCCTTTTTAGAAACAGTACCAACAAAAACCTTATTTACTATACTTTTTGTGTACCCCCAATCTCAATGATCTGTATCCGCCTCAGGGGCGGATCCAGGAAAACTCCAAGGGGAGGGTCATGAATCGAAGTGGTGCCCATACCTATACCCAAAATTAAAAACTCAACGGATTTCGTCCACTTCATTTTGGTGGTGCCCCCATTTTCAGTTTTTTTCTTTTTATTTTTTATTTTTAGTCAGTATCTTAACTCTTAGCCACAACCACATTTACCAATTGTAAGCAAGTATATATGAATGTGCTATGTGTATATATGTTGTGGACGCTGAGTAGTGAGTACTTACCAGGAAAGTTATCAGGTAAGTGAATCGTTGTCAGTCCGACGAACTTGACCCTGGCGTTTAAAGGGTCTGTCCTTGACACTTAAGCCTTGTCAGGGGCACCAAAGTCCTTCCAGGGACACCACAAACCTGTCAGGGGCACCTACGGCCTTGTAGGGGCGCCACAGGCCCGCCAGGGGCACCACAGGCCTGCCAGGAAGCAGGGGCACCACAGGTCTAGCAAGTATACACGACAGGCCTGTCAGGGGCACAACGGGCCTGTTGGGCCCATGAGCACCCCTAGGGGCAGGGGCACCACAGTCCTTCCAGGGGCACCGCAGGCCTGTGAGGGGCACCAGCGGCCTAGCAGGGGCACCAGTCAACACAGGCCTGCCAGGGGCACCACAGACCTGCCAGGGGCACCAGAGGCCTGCCAGGAACACCACCGACCTCGCAGGGGTAACTTGGGCCTGTCAGGGGCACCACGGGCCTGTCGAGAGGCACTTCAGGCTTTTCAGGGGCACCATAGTCCTCTCCGGGCGCAGGGGTAGCAGGGGCACCAGAGGCCTGCCAGGGGCACCACAGGCCTAGCAAGGGCACCACGGGCCTGTAATGGGCACCTCATGCCTGTCAGGGCCCAGGGACACCACAGTCCTTCCAGGGGCACCACAAGCCTGTCAGGGGCACCAGAGGTTTAGCAAGGGCACCACAGGCCTGCCAGGGGCACTACAGGCCTAGCAAGGGCACCACTGGTCTATCAGGGGCACCACGAGCCTGTCATAGCCAGGCATCTCAGGCTTGTCAGGGCCCAGGGGCACCACAGTCCTTCCAGGGGCATTACAAGCCTGTCAGGGCACCAGAGGCCTAGCAAGGGCACCACAGGCCTGCCATAGACACCACAGGCCTGCCAGGGGCACCACCGGCCTTGCAGGGGCGCCTCAGGCCTGTCAGGGGCACCACGTGCCTGCCGGGGACACTTCAGGCTTGTCAGGGGCGTTACAGTCCTGTCAGGGCCCAGGGGCACCAGGCCCGTGGTGTCCCTGCTAGGCATGTGGTGCCCCTGGCGGTCCTGTGGTGCCCCTGTCAGGACTGTGATACCCCTGATAGGCCGGTGGTGCCCCTGGCAGGTCTTTGGGCCCCCAGGCCTCAAGGGGGGGGGGCCATGACCCATGTGACCCCCCCTTGGATCCGCCACTGATCCGCCTATGATTTTTGAAAATGCATATTTTTAGGATCCATGTGAATTCCTGGTTCATTCTCTATCGATCGGCAAAAGTTGCGTTAAGATTGGTTCAGTAACCTGGCCGTGATAAACAGTCTAAAATGTATCTGCAATTTGCCTGTTTTTACCCCCCTCTACTTTGACATTGACATTTGACATTTTTTAATTTTCATTTTTTAGAAATGTAGATCACGTTGAGTGAAATCGAATGCCCTGTGAATTTTGAAAATCGGCCCGCTAGATCTCGAGATATCAGGGGGGGTCGTAAAAAGCCCCCCCCCCCTGCCACTAATAGGGGTAGCCAGGAGCCTGCCACTAATAGGGTTAAATAAACCGCCACCAAAGCCGCTACATATTCCGCAACATAAATCCGAAGGGCGAACCGAAATCTCGCCGAAATCGGGGCGCAGCCCGGGCGCACGATACCAATACAAAACAGAGTGGCGTCGACAAAAACCGAACGGTCATGCGCCTCGGACCACGCACATCGACCTTGCCACAGTGACTGATCAGTTTTCACTGTCGGAGCTGCTTGTCACCGGGGCCCTGTTTCACCGGTGTAGCAGCACGCTACTATCAAATTGCGCGAGCTGACGTAATGTGATGAGGTCATACTAATGACGCTTCGTGTAATCCGTGAGTTGCGTTTGGAACAGAGTTGCTGTCTCGTTGAATGCGTTTGATAACATTTGTTTGATCGCACGGCCGTGAAGATATTAGCAGCAATATTTGATGACATCCAACAGATTGACGGCGTCATGGTTTGTTGATGTTAAAACGTCAGTTTTAGACCACTTCCATTTACGCTGAAGGATCGTTGCCTCATGGGTTGATGGCGAATTCAATGAACTTTAATATGCCATATTTGCGATTTCTTTCTTTGAAATATTTAACAAATGAGAGCAAAAAATCCACTAAGTGCGTACTCTTATACGACTTCACCCTATACCATTCGACGCGCCGGAGCTAGACAAACACAAAGATGCTAAAATCGCGGCTCTGCGACCATTTGTTGCGAAGTTATCTACCAAAAACCGGACCCGTAATTTTGGTCACTTGGAATGACCTCAGGGTTCACCAATGAACCCGAGACCTTAAAATGTGGTATCATTCGATGCATCTTGTAACGACGCACATGCTCGTTTTTTTCTGCAAGGTTCTATGCTCAATTAGAGGCGAAACGGCGAGCTGGGGTCGTACCGACCCCCGGAAACCCATTTTGTATGCATTAAAATGAGGAACTTATAGAAAGAACACCTTTCTAATTTTTAGCATGTCGATTTTAAATGACCTGAAGTTTATTTTGAAGAAATAAAAATGGCAAAAATGTTGGTCCCAAGGGCCATTATAGACAAGTTAAAAAAAAATATTACTACATTTTTCAATATGTAAAGCTTTTCTTTCCAATTTTAAAAAAGCTGTATTAATCTTTGATTCATTGTTAGTTCAAAGCTGTTTACCGTTTGTTGCTTGCTTAGCTCGTTTTGGAGTTATAGCTCATCAAACTCACCCTTACAATCTGAAGTTTAGAAAATATGATGCAATATAACTAAAAAAGTTTTCATCTGAGAAGTCTAATACTTTGGCAGGCGTCTTTGGAGCCTATGATTACCCCTTGTACCAATTTTCATTCAAATCTGAGGGATGAGGGTGACGGGCCTGATACGATCTATCGTGGAATGCCCCAGCTTTTTACCGCGTCTTTCTAGCCCTCTTAGTTTTTGAGTTAGAGGTGGGTGGTAACATATGCCTCCCCCCCCCCTCCCACTAGGGCGAAGTTGGCTGAGACCGCCACTGGGGCGCGGGTTAAGATGGCAAGGAAAATGCCGTGTGTTGATGTTTATAATAGATGTAGGTATAAAGGAAACAACTAACAAGAAGGAAAGAAGATCGGAAAAGGGAGGAAAGATCCTTTCTCGCTGCTTCAATGTTGAGGGGGCGCCGCCCACTCGGCTCTCAAGTTGGGGGGTAAGCGCCCCCGCTGCCCCCCCCCCCCCTGTTCCCGGGTCTATGCATAGCAAAGAACATCTGCAGCCGATTTCACCGAACTGTTTCCTTAAAATTGTATTGAGTCGAAATCTCTCTCTCTCTCTCTCTCCCTCTCTCTCTCTCTCTCTCTCTCTCTCTCTCTCTCTCTCTTTCTCTCTCTCTCACTCTCTCTCTCTCTCTTCTCTCTCTCTCTCTATCTCTCTCTCTCTCTCTCTCTCTCTCTCTCTCTCTCTCTCTCTCTCTCTCTCTCTCTCTCTCTCTCTCTCTCCCTACTTCCCCCTTCTCCTCTCCCTCTCTCTCCGTCTCGCCCCATCTCTCGAATATCTTTGTGTTATCGCCGGCAGATCGCTGGACACCGTGGACTCTGTGGAATTTGTGGAGAGCAAAAAAGACCAGATGTCGGGCGGAGGTGAGTGTTGCCATCTCAGCAGTCTCCCGACCTCGCAATGCCCACCTGACGATTGGCTACCGCTGCAATGACACCGGGTTTGATCTTATCTGCTAGCGAGACAATATTGTTTGTCTTTCTTTTACGCAACTATAAACGATCATTATGGCACTTCTCCACAAAAATGTTGCGATTTAGGGGCTGTCAATTGTTTCAAAAAAAAAAACTCTTCAGCCAGAAGTAAAAGCAGAAAAACAATTTTTAGTAAAAACGGCTATTTTTAGTTTTTTCTCTCTGGAGACTAAACCGTTGACCTGAGGTCAAATCTGAGGAGTCAATCCAGAAAGGGCGTTAAAAGGCCAATCACATGCGCTTTTCCGCAGTGCTGCAGCTCTGTTGGTTCCCGAGTTATGCGCCGGTTTTTCGAAAACTGTTGAAATAGGCAAAATTTGACCTTTTCTGGCGACTTGACCTATGACCTGACCTAAAAAATGATAGAACGGCGCTGTGTGTCGCCGTTTTTGAGATGTTCGCGAAAAACCTGAGGGGGCGTAAAAACGTCCCCCCCCCCTCCACAGGACGGCGTGGGTTCAATCATAGCAAAGAACATCTGTAGCCGATTTCACCGAACTTTCCATAAAATTTTATTGAGTCGAAATCAGGGGCCAGGAGTGAAGCACTGAAAGGACACCCAGTGCACATACATTCTGTGTGATTTACGACAAACCGTAGAAGCCAATGCGATGAGCTTGATATAGGCATTTCATGTATCATATATTACATATATTTCATATTTCATATATAGGTACTTACGTTGAGACTGACAGTTGCTAAATAATGGCTACACTGTGAAGGGTTACCAGCACAAAATGTTATCATTTTACCTATTGATGCTTGATAACATTCATAAATCATACTCTGTTTACTGCATCTACTGATGCCTACTACTGGCACCAATGCTAACCAAATAAACTATGCATCTCATATTCAATGCCACCAATAGTCGGAGAAGTGAGGCAGCATGTTACGAAAAAATATACTTCTCATGAATGATTGCAAAATTAACCGCATTCACCCGTATTACGAGCAAAAAATAACAAAAGGCATGCTTGGTTCATGCCAAACTAGCTACCTACATACTTCGGTGTTACGTAATCAATGACCCAGCTATTCAATACCACAGTTCCGAATGTCCCCTCTTCCCGAACAGCGGTCAGCAGCATTGCAGAACTTCTAACATTTGTGAACCGTCGCATACAGGGTCTTCAAGAAATCGCGACGTTTCCATTTTACTTACAGTGCAGGCTGTAGGCACCTATTACAAGCTGCATCCCAAAATACATACACAGGTATCACATGCCATAAAGCTTAACAGACTCTGAACGATTCCTGATTGCTTGATTACCACATGTCGTTTCTAGGAAATCACATTCGAAAATCGGCTGCTCTAAACAACATGACCTGATCGCCCAGAACCCCAAGTATAGTGAGTAACAGTGGTGGAGACACATAATATCGCTTTTATGTATACATGCACACTCGGCTTCCTGAAAAGAGTTCCAGGGGTACATAGTTATTGAATTGTAGAGCATGTCTGCTAGAGCTCAGAGCATAGAGTTTTCGTCATGTTCGCCATCTGCGGAGAGGCGGCTGTCAGGGGCGGTCTGAGCGTCCGGCTCCGGCTCGGCGGCCGGAGCGTCCTCCCCAGCAGCGTCCTCTCCGTCCTCCCCGTCCTCTGCGTCCTCTGCGTCCTCTCCGTCCTCCTCGGCCACCGGGGAGACGCAGAGCACCGTCTCCTTGAAGCCGACCGACTTGAGCGAGTAGTCGGGCGTGGGCTCCTCGGGTGTCGGCTGCTGCGTCTCGGACAGGTCGATGAGCGGGTGCTCGCCGGGGGACGACGGGCGGCGCTCCTGGCGCGGCGCGCTCTCTGACGGAGGCTCCGAGCCGAGGCCGTGGACGGCCGGCTGAAACACCGACCGGAGCTGTCAGCGACCGACGGCGGCGGCCGTCACTCAGCCCGGCGCCAGTGGCAGCACCGAGACGCAATCAGTACACCGCAAATAGACCTGTAACTGTGCATCACAGAGAAGAATAGCTTGCTAAGCACGGCAGCTTGCGGCGTCACCTCCTGTTAGGAGTTGGAAAGCATGTTACCTGTTGGATGGACTGGAAGAAGCGACTGTTTGCCTCCTGTTCTCGGTGGACTGGAAGGCACAGTTCTCAGTTACCTGCGGTCCGGACTGGAAGACGCGGCTGTCTGTTTCCTGCGGTCCGGACTGGAAGACGCGGCTGTCTGTTTCCTGCGGTCCGGACTGGAAGACGCGGCTGTCTGTTACCTGCGGTCCGGACTGGAAGACGCGGCTGTCTGTTTCCTGCTGGCCGGACTGGAAGGCGTGGTTGCTGTAGGTATTGCTCTCGCTGCGCCGACCAGTAGCTTCAGGTGAGTAGTTGGAGTTCACCATCCCTCCGGCGTAGGACTCGGCGTCATTCTTCTGCCTGAGTCACAGCACACACGACATGACTCAGCACAACGCGTTCACCGCTCACAGTGTCAGAATTAATCCCTGTTTGCAACGCTCAATGGGCAATGGTCATTGGTCAATTACTCTTATTAAATTGATATGATCGACTATTGGTGAGATTTCGGCGTTACCTACACGCAGCACGGCCCCAGCACGGTGCGTAGCTGCAGTAGCCAGCCGTTTACGTGCTGCAGCTGTAGCAGCGAGCCGTTTACCTGGTGTAGCTGCAGACTACAGGCCGTTTACCTGGCGTAGCTGCCGGCTGGACGCCGCAGCAGCTGACGCTGACGCAGCACGGCCCCGATGATGACGACCGCCAGAAGGCAGGCCAACACAGCCACGGCCACAATCAGGCCGGTGTTGTCCCCTTCCGGGTCCCCGCCGCTACCTGCGGACGGAGGTCACACTGGACTGCAGGGGACCGATGTAAGTACTGTACGACACTGGACTGCAGAGGACCGATGTACCGCACGGACGGAGGTCACACTGGACTGCTGACGACCGATGTACCGTACGGACGGAGGTCACACTGGACTGCAGGGGACCGATGTAGGTACCAGACTTGTAAACGACTCAAAAATTTTTTTTGAGTCGATTCTTTGTTTGAGTCTGGAAATTTGAATCGATTCATCAAACGACTCATGATGTTAAATTTAATTGATTCGAATCAACTCATGACTCATCAAGTTCCTCGATGAAATGATTCGAATCAACTCATGACTCGAGCAACTAGCCAACGGAATAATTCGAATCAACTCATGACTCACACATTTTGATGAATCGATTCAAATCAACTCATGACTCACACGACATTTTTATTGAACTTATTTCATTCAACTCATGACTCACTATAGGCATTTGTTGATTATTTGACTCATAGCTATGATAAAATGAATATGCCGCATACCACAATTGTATTAAGCAGCATAGTAGCCTTGACCAAAGATTCAAGCAGCTACCTAGTAGGACTAGGTACATAGGTACCTACCTTACACCTACCTATCTTCAACACTCAACAGTCAACAGTGCAATGTCAGATAAATTTGTAAGTAACTCTGAGAGACAATTATAAGTAAGGACTAAGGAGTAGCATAGTAACCTATCTCTTATTATTACCTAGAAAGTCTTATTTGAAAATTCAAAAGCACAAGTTCCGAGAGGCATTCATGTTTTTTTTAATCAAACTTTTTCTACATGATAATGAGACAAATGTTACTACTTCTTACTTATCAGATAAAATTATTCAAACAGTACAACCTCAAAAATAGGATCAATCCCACCTGTGAAACATTTCAGCATCAGCAGGGACTCCATGGGCCACGAGGAGGCCATGACCTTGCATGAGTGGCTCAGGCCTCAGAATCAGATATGATCTTGAGTTGAGACTCATTGAAAGTAGTTAATGTAGGTATACAATATACATTCTCCAAACGGCACCTAGTTTAGCAGTGCCAACTGGCTGCCAGCTAGATAGAGCCCATCCGTCACTTACCATTTATGTTGGCTCAACGTGGAGATTAAAATGAAGGAATATAAAAAATATTGTTAGTCTACAATTTTAGATTAAAAATGTCGTCATTGAATATTAATCGATATCAAGAGCACCGGAGCACTGACCAAGTGGCTCTTTTGGTAAAAAATAAATTGTTCTTTCTTCCTATGCATCAAATAAAAAATATTTTCAATTTTTTATTTGTCATCACATATTTCTATTTTTCAACAAAATTACTCGTTGACTTCATATTTATCGAGATTCAGACGTGAAAGTTATCAACTGCGCCATTAATATAGTTTTCTTAAAACGTACTATGACTTTCACATTCTATTCTCGAATTCATGACGTCACTCATAGTACATATTTTAGGCGAATGGAGATCGCTGAGGAAATATTTCAAAGCCGCTCCTTTACATTATTCTGAAGATTCTATAATGTCATAAAACAAGTTTCTTTTTAAACTTCTATTTCATGGAAAAATGTGCATTTTGTGGTTTATTGGCAGTTGAGCATCGCAATTTTGCGGTTTATAGGTGAGTTTATTTATATTATAGCATAGCCTATAGGTAGTTTATAGGCTATAGGTAGTTTGGGCGTATTTGACTCTATAGACGCCCAAACTCTTATGCTGTTGATTGATTATTGGGACCAAATTGGGACTGGGAGAAGGGGAGGCAGCCGCAGGTGTCAATTCTGACTTCTGACATGTAAAATGTAGGTACCTAGGTAATGTAGCAGGCACTTGGTTTGGTAAGTGCCTACCAACTGCCAAATGCTTTTGGCTCATTAGGCGCCTGTGCCTGAGCCTCTGAGGCTCTTGTAAGTCTGAAATATGGAGTTAAGTGATGGCTAAAGCTGAGGGGGTGATCTAGCATTGATTATTAGGGTGTTGATGGTGACTTGTAAACGACTCAAATTTTTTTGAGTCGATTCTTTGTTTGAGTCTGAAAATTTGAATCGATTCATCAAATGACTCATGATGTTAAATTTAATTGATTCGAATCAACTCATGACTCATCAAGTTCCTCGATGAAGTGATTCGAATCAACTCATGACTCATCGAAAAACGGTTTGATTCTGAGTCGATTCACGAATCAACTCAGAGTCGTTTACAAGTCTGGTAGGTACCGTACGACACTGGACTGCAGAGGACCGATGTACCGCACGGACGGAGGTCACACTGGACTGCGGGGGACCGATGTACCGTACGGACGGAGGTCACACTGGACTGCAGGGGACCGATGTACCGTACGGACGGAGGTCACACTGGACTGCATGGGACCGATGTACCGTACGACACTGGACTGCAGAGGACCGATGTAGGTAACGGACAGCCACGCCGATATATATATATATATATATATATATATATATATATATATATATATATATATATATATATATATATATATATATATATATATATATATATATATATATATATATATATATATATATACAGGCAGCCAATTCACATTACGAACATATTATATATTTTTTTAGAAACCATTGACAGCCCCTAACTTGCAATATATTTCTCCAGAAGTGCCATAATGATCGTTTATAGTTGCGTAAAAGAAAGACAAACAATATTGTCTCGCTAGCAGATAAGATCAAACCCGGTGTCATTGCAGCGGTAGCCAATCTTCAGGTGGGCATTGCGAGGTCGGGAGACTGCTGAGCTGGCAACACTCACCTCCGCCGGACATCTGGTCTTTTTTGGTCTCCACATATTCCACAGAGTCCACGGTGTCCAGCGATCTGCCGGCGATAACACAAAGATATTTGAGAGCTGGGGCGAGACGGAGAGAGAGAGAGAAAGGGAGGGAGGAGAGAGAGAGAGAGAGGGAGGGGGAGAGAGAATGAGCATTGAGTACAGCGCTCGGAGCTCGGCGTGCGATCCGGAAGGTAGGCTGCCCGCCGGACAGTGCTGCCCGCCGGTACAGCCTACCCACCCAGGCCCCTGTATTAGCGAGCCGATACTGGTGTCAGCGCAGCTCGCAGTCACGAAATCTGACCGACTCGACACTCACTCTTTGATGTCGTCGGAGTCGACGGCGACCACGGCGCCTCCGCTGTCCTCTCGCAGAGCGTAGAAGTAGATTGCGCTGCCGTCATCATCGTCGTCCGAGAGCCGCCGTGTGGACGGCGCCTGCAACCAGGGTTGTATACCAATCAAGTCGATTGAATTGATTGATTTGTTTCAACGCGTATTTTGAGTTGATTGGATTGAGTCGATTGACTTTTCGAGATGACTGGTTGACTGACTCGTTTGACTTTAGCGACTGGTTGACTGATTTGATTCCCGAAAATTAGAGTGACTCGTATGATTGAGTCGATTGAATGGAAAGTTCAAATAAGTTTTAGTTGGCGAAAAATAATGACACCAATTGATGACATCAAAGATCACAAAACTACACTGAAAACTGCTTGTCATCACAACTGCAATATGGGGTAGATGGCCAAATAAAGAACAGGGCCTAAACATGAACAGCCAACTTTGACTTTCAACTGCAATAACTGCTCCGATCCTGGTGATAGAACCTGGCGATGCACCTACCTACCTTTCTGCACTCAGCAGGAAACGTTTTTTTTTTAATCCAGATGATAAAGTGCAAGGCCCTATATACTAATAAAGTGTGATTAATTAATAATTCACATCTCCACATCTCCTCAGAAACAACCCACTGAACTCTATAAATATCTGAAACCCCTACAAAAATAACTGAAACAAAAGCGCCGTTTTCGTCTCGCTAATTACGTTTACGTACCTAATTAATAGCTAATTTGCTGCATTGTTTAATTTGCAGCAGAACGTTTGTTGATCCTTTTCTCCTGAGAGCCTAAGCATAACATATTTAATATATTTCATTTTCCTTAAAATATTTTACCGAATATTATTAAGTGGTTTTATTTCAAATGAAATAATAATTAAAACGAAGTTGGTGTTGTACTACCGATTTATTTAATGATGATCTACCATACTACATGATAATCAATGATGTCATCTTACCAAAAAATCAAAAGACGTAGAATAAGGATTTATAAAAGCTTAGCATACTTATTGGCAAAACGTTTTCTTTGTTTCGCATTCGCACCGTGCCGTTTTCGCGTTTTAATTTTCCTTGTTCCTACTTCCTTTGTCCTTAACTTATCCTGTGGTTCCAGAGTCCCTGTCCTCTCCATTTCCTTTTAAATATACTTTTAATCCTCATCCCTATCCCCCAGTCCTAACAGTTTCAAATTGTAGTGCAATAAAATGTTTTGAATTCTTCACATAGGTACCTAACATTGACATGCCACGTCCAGAGTCGTGGACCGCTAAATACTTCATATCTCTTCCTTCCCAATCTGACAACATCCCACGTCTCAAATGCACTTGTGTGGAAAGATTTTTCAGGCTGCCCGTCAGTCTCTGTCTAACCGAAACCGTCACATGCAGGTGAGATATTTATTTCTATTTCCCTATGGTTAATATGTTATTGATGCATATTATCCATTAAAATAGACATGGTGTAGGGTAAATGGCCAAATCACGAATACTGCCAAAATCCGAGCAGCCAACTTTCAACTGCAATATCTGATATTTAGTGTAAATGGACGAATCAGCAGGTACCTAAATGGCCAAATGCAGCGAGTTGAGGGGGAAGAGGGGTGCGGATAGGTACCTGCCTAGCATAATTGAATTCATTTAACCCGCGCACCGACGGGGGTCTGCGCCAACTTCGCACCGACGGGGGGGGGCGGATGACCGCCCCCCCCTTGAGATCTCGAGAACGAAGCAAGATAGCGACAAGCGGTAAACGGCATCGGATACGCACGGACAAGGTCTACAATTTTTACTAAGGTCATTTTCAGGTCAGGTCAAAGATGACGTCACAGGGGTCGAAAAATTCAAAATGGCGGCGCTAGATATAGAGTTTTTCTCGAATAACTTTCGAATTGGTCAAGATAGGAACAAACTAAGGGCACCATCGTGATCCTCTCGTCAATCCGCATCGAATGATATATATGTTGACCTCGAAAGGTCAAGGTCAAAGGTTGACCTCAGGTCACGTGACCTCGAGGTCATCATGTATATCATTCGATGCGTCTTGACGAGCTGAACACAATGAGACCATCCGCGCGGCTGTATCTTGTTCCTGTACGGAGTTATTGGCAAAACACCTTTGGTAACCTTTGATGACGTCACATGACCTTACAGCTGCCCAACAGCAAAACAGACCTCAAGGTAGTGAAGAGTGATCGTATATGAAGTCATGTATGGTATATGGGGCCATTCCGACGCGTTTTAGTGGTAAAAACAGGGAGTTGATTTTTCCCCCATTGACTTATAATGGGGAGGTCGCGAAATTGACCTGACCTTAGGTCACCGACATCAAAATTCCGAGATATACAAATTGTAGATACTAATGACCTAATAACATCCTGCGACTTTCAAAGGCCTCCGACATCTACTGTAGCTCTGGCACGGTGACAAAGTTGCAAAAAAGTGACTTGAGGTTGGGTCATTCAAAGTGACCTGGTGACCTGACCTTAAAGTTAGGAGGTTCAAACTTGCACACCATGTGTAAAATTGATGAGAGAATAGTCGTATCAAATGTCGCGGCGCTACACGCCGCGGTTTTCCCGCTATTCGCGAAAAACCTCAGGGGGGCGGATATCCGCCCCCCCCCCCTTGAAGTTGAAGTTGAAGTGCTTCCGGCCCTTGGCTGGAAGCCATACGGGGGGACGCCTCACAGGCGGCCCAGCCGCCTCAGGAGCTCCACCAGCTTCGTCGGGTCTCCCAGTGCTTCCCTCATCTCCGGCTCGTCCTCTCCGAATATCCTTCGTCTCGCATCTGCCCGGGCGGGGCAGTCGGTCAGGAGGTGAGTTAGTGTCTCATCGTCCAGCCCGCACTCCGGACAGGCGGGGTCGTCTTCCAGGCCGATTCGGTGTCGATACTCCCGCAGCATCAGTGAGTGGCCGGTGCGGAGTCTCGCGACCTCCACGCACTCCCGGCGGGAGAGTCCCAGGCGCTCAGCCGTAGGGGGCCGGCGCACTCCGTTCTGCAGGGCGTAGCGGGTCGGTTGCAGCCGCTGTTCCCACTCCCGGTGGGCGTGCCTCCTCAGCCTGGCTTTTGCTGACGGGAGGTCTATCGGCACGTCACGCTGCTCCAGGTTGGCGGCCTCCCGTGCGATTTCGTCGGCCAGCTCGTTGCCGGGGAGCCCGGCGTGGCCGGGGACCCACTGCAGGGACGTGTGCGTCCCGCGGTCGGCTAGGTCCAGCAGCCTCTGCCAGACTCTGTCCGCCAGGACATCCGTCTGCGCCGCCGGGCCCTCCGCGATGCGACGCAGGGCCGACTGGGAGTCGGTACATATTCTCACCTCCCCCGGAGCAGGTCCCTCAGCGCCCCTCAGGAGGGACGCGAGGGCAGAGTCGAGCGCCGTTAGCTCCGCGCGGTAGCTGGAGGTCCAGCGGCCTGCAGGGGTCCGGATCCTCTCCAGCTCCGTCGCCCCCCGGAAGACAACGGCTCCCGCTCCGCCATTTTCGACACCGTCTGTGGCCGATCCGTCTGTGAATACAATGTAGTCGGCTGGCGGGAGACCCGCCAGGGTCTCCTGTGCCGCCTCCAGCCGCTTGTCCGGTGGGTCCGTTCTCTTTGTCGGTCTCGCGACAGCACTTCTGATGGTGACGCCTCCCGCGGCACTCCCCCATGGCGGCGTCCGTGGGACCACCAGCACCGGCTCCCGCGGGAGATCTCCCAGACCAGCGTCCGAGGACGCACTGAGTCCCGTGTCGGCCCAGCCTCGGTCTCGGTGGAGCCGCTGTCTGGGTCTCGTCGCTGTCAGCACCGGCTGCAGGGGGTCCCCCGGGAGGTCCCTCAGGTGCCGCTGGGTCGCCGCGGCCGTCAGCTGCCTCCGCCGTATCGCGAACGGCATCACGTCCGCCTCGCGCTCCAGCGCTGGCGCCGGGGTGGACCTGAGGCAGCCGGTGATGATCCGGCATGCCTGGCGCTGGGCGACCTCCAACTGCTCCAGAGCAGTGGGGGCCACTCCTCACATTGCCCCAACAGACGGTAAATAACTTTTGAAAATACCAATTTCCAATTTTAGTGTTTTCTGGACCAAAATTTTGCGAGGAATCCGATGGTGTGGTCCCCGAAATCTGAAAAATTTCCATTTTGGAGATAGCACCTATTTTTTGAAAAATAAATATTCGTCAGGCTTAATAGTCAAATAAATTGGAAATATAATGAGTTAATTTTTGTAACAACACTAGAATGTGTCGAACATGAATCAGAGATATATTTTAGCTGAGATGATACTATATCTGCGCATACATGTACATGAACTAGTACATTAACCCTCGTCGGCCCAGAAGGGGTGGGGCGGGTGCCGCCTAATAGGGCTTTTCGCGATAGCTTAAAACTCGCTTAGGGTAGACAGCTGAAACTTGGCATACCTAATCTTTTATTCAAGCTGGATCTTTTGACCTCAACTGCGTTTTCAGGTCAGGTCAGGTCACTGACCTATGACGTCATAAATGAGCCTCTGCGAGGTCCTCAGATGTTGCAACTTTGCAACGCCCTCAGTGCCAGAGGAACTTTCACAGGAAGATAAAACTTACAGGACGTAGTATCCTTCAGAGGTCTCACAACTTGTATATCTCGGATTTAACCTAAATGTCACATGAGGTCAGGTCGGTCACGTGACCTCACCATTATAAGTCAATGGGGGAAATACGAATACTGTTATTTTGGCGCCGTAATGATCTAAAACTATCCCAAGCACATGAAATCGTGGTTTCATGATCGGACCTTACAAAGAGTACATGAAACCACGATTTCATGTGCTTGGGACAGTTTTAGATCATTTCCGGCGCCAAAATAACAGTTTTCATATTTCCCTATTGACTTATAATGGTGAGGTCACGTGACCGACCTGACCTCATGTGACATTTAGGTTAAATCCGAGATATACAAGTTGTGAGACCTCTGAAGGATACTAAGTCCTGTAAGTTTCATCTTCCTGTGAAAGTTCCTCTGGCACTGAGGGCGTTGCAAAGTTGCAACATCTGAGGACCTCGCAGAGGCTCATTTATGACGTCAGGTCAGGTCAGTGACCTGACCTGACCTGAAAACGCAGTTGAGGTCAAAAGATCCAGCTTGAATAAAAGATTAGGTATGCCAAGTTTCAGCTGTCTACCCTAAGCGAGTTTTAAGCTATCGCGAAAAGCCCTATTAGGCGGCACCCGCCCCACCCCTTCTCGGCCGGCGAGGGTTAATGTACTAGTTCATGTACATGTATGCGCAGATATAGTATCATCTCAGCTAAAATATATCTCTAATTCATGTTCGACACATTCTAGTGTTGTTACAAAAATTAACTCATTATATTTCCAATTTATTTGACTATTAAGCCTGACGAATATTTATTTTTCAAAAAATAGGTGCTATTTCCAAAATGGAAATTTTTCAGATTTCGATGACCACACCATCGGATTCCTCGCAAAATTTTGGTCCAGAAAACACTAAAATTGGAAATTGGTATTTTCAAAAGTTATTTACCGTCTGTTGGGGCAATGTGTCCTGACATCCAGCCCGCTGCAGCGTAGTCCGCGCACGCCCTGATGTACGCCAGGTAGAGCGTCCTCAGGTCCGTGGTGCTCGCGCCCCAGGCTTTACCTCCAACTGCTCTCAGGGCGTTGCACCTTCTGACCATCCTGGCCTTGAGGCTGGCCACATGCTGTCTGAAGGATAGTGTGCGGTCGAACGTGACCCCTAGGAAGGTCGGCGTCGGTTCGTGTCGTAGTCTGGTGGTCTTCATGTGCAGGCAGGCCTCCCGTCTCGCCTCGTGAGGATCGAGGGTGAAGACAGTGGCCACGGTCTTCTCCGCGCTGACCTCCATCTTCCAGCGGTCCGCCCACTTTAACAGTTCGTTGAGCGCCGCTTGGACCCTCGTCTCAGCCTCGGCGATGGTCCTCTCAGTGGCGAAGATAGCCAGAAGATAGCCCCCCCCCCCGTCGGTGCGCGGGTTAAATCAAAATGTATTTTCAGTGGGTAGGTACCTAGTCAACACACACACTTACACTTAGGTAGGTACACTTACAAAGTACGAGAATTTAGAAGGCCACTTGGCCTGTGGGACTCTGTGCAGTCGAGATCCTTGTGCATAGTCAAGTGATATATTGTTGTTATATATAAATTTGTGTTATTCTACCCATTGAACCTCAATATCATGATCCACCTGTCCATCACTAGGTATCCTTCCTTATTACATATAAACTTTGAATGGCATGGCAATTTTTAATTTTAAATGACAATATTTTTATGTTTCTTCTGTAGGTAGGTAGGTAGGTAGGTAGGTAGGTAGGTAGGTAGGTAGGTAGGTAGGTACACCAGACTGCTATGGACACTTTTCCAAGTTGGTGGGGCAAAAAACCTAATGTATGTCTTGGTTTGAGTCGTTTGATTGAGTTGATTGATTCCTTTCATTGTCGCGTTTGAGTCGATTGAATCAATTCCCGAAAACTGCTTTGACTTGATTGATTTGATTGGTTTCCCAAATTTGTCGTGATTGAATTGATTGCTATTGATTGAGTCGTATACAACCCTGCCTGCAACACGTCAGCAGGTGGGGGACGGACGGAACGAACCGGGGCACAGAGACACTGGAGCTCGGTAAATAAAGGCTCGGTAGTCAATATTTGGAACTACAAATCTTGAGTTCTTGTATCTTAGATATCTTCAAATCTTGAGTTTGTATATAAGTGGGGTGTGCACACGCCCAACGGCGATCAAAGTCAGGGACAAAGACTGGTAAGATAGACAGCTTTATTTGCCGTAACTGTTAACTAATAGGGCAGGGAAGGCATGGTTCGAGTTGAGGTAAAATTGCATTCCTATACGATATTTCAAAATAGCCCCTGTTGAGTGTCTTGTTGAGCTTCTCTCCCCGCTGTTCTATCCCCACTGTCATCCCGGTGTCCCGCGTCTTCGCTATCTGTCCTGCCGTCGCTGTCCGTGACCGCTGGCCTCAGGGCATATTTTAACAAATTTTTACTGCGTCCCAAAGTTGAGCAGAGGGCACGTGCTACGACTAAGGGCACAGAGCAAGGAACAGAGTAGGGCACTGAGGAGGGCAGAAAGTAGGGCACGGCAGGTTACAGGGCATGGCACAGGACATTTTAGAGGGAAGGGTACAGGTCAGGGCACACAGCAGGGCACAGGTAAGGGAACCGGACAGGGCACAGGGCAGGGACGCAGTGGGTCAAATCAGCAGGGGCTACGTCCCAAGGCGAGGGGGCTGCGTCCCAGAATGGGACGCAGTAAGTGCCTTAAAATATGCCCTGGCTGGCCTGCTGTTCCTGCCGTCCCCGCTGCTCCCCTGTCCACCCGTAACCAATGTCCTGCGACCCGTGCTCCAGCGGCGGCTGCGCTCGTACCTTGTCGGCGGCGCTCAGCGCCTGGAAGTCCCAGGAGAACACGGCCCGGTAGCTGCCGCTCTGGGCGATCTGTTCCAGCAGTGACGTCACACTGCCCACGTCCGTCAGCTGGCTCTCCGTGCGCACGAAGAACACCTGGTCGTCGGTAACAGGCACCAGCTGCGGGCGAATGTTCGGCTGGCTCAGTGGCCACGACAACACACGAGAGCACACTAATCGATGACTTCTCCATGTAGAGCGTTTGCTGACAGGTCTGCGAGCTCTGGAATACGTCTCAGCCCCAGTGCGGCTCCACTGACCGCCCGGGCCTCACCTGGATTGTGGCCGTGTCACTGTGGGACTGGTCCTGGCCGTTGTTGTCGAGGGCAGTGACAGTGGCCCTGATGGCCGAGGTCCTGAGGACGGCAAACCATGCATCACTCAATACCCGAGTCCAAAAGTGTGGATGTAATGGCCCACTCTACTTATCCAGGTTTTTTGTTAGACTGGAACTTTCACACCTTTCTTCAATAGGTTCAATAGGTTTCCCTCTGCAAACTGCGTGGTAGGTATTCTTTTTTCGACAAAACCGAGAATATCGCGGATACTATGCTATCGGTCACTCGGAAATCGTAACAGCAAGACGCGCGAGACTCCGCACCTTAGATGGGCATTACCATCGTATTCATTTTCCATCCAGTTTGGCAACAAAACCCAAAAGTTTATATTTGCCCCCAAAACAAACTGTTGCATTTTGCTGCCACACAAAGCCTATACTTTGTTTAGTGATAGACCCAATCGAAGGAGTGGAGCATGGTGCCTCTATTTGCAATGAATTCCGACCGACAGATCACATAGTCTTTGAGTTATTACCGGTTTTGTCGAAAAAAGAATACCTACCACGCAGTCTGCTGAGGGCTGTACATGCTGAGCATTCCTAAAATCGAACTGCTGAGCCTTAAACCCGTAGGTAAAATGCCGGTAGATCCTGAAGTACATAACCAAAGTCCTAGACATAAGTAAATCATAAGTCCTAAAATGGCCGTTGGACACCCTGCACACTTCCGATGAAGGAGGCGGCGGAACGTACTGCCGTTTGACCAGGTAGAGCATTCCGGACGAGTCCACATCGAGCGCGTCCGAGTCCACCCGGTAGCGGACGCCAGCCACGCCAAAGTCGCCCCGATCGCCGTCCGTCACCTGAAAGCCATCCGACGACAGGTCACAAAAGGCGGCTCACCATCACACGCTTGCATTCAGCTAGCAAATAAATCACAGTCACCAGTGCTGACTCCCACGCCGACGGGTGGCCGGAGCTCACCGTTGGGCGCAATCGCTCACCGTGAGCGGGTGTAGTGTCATTGACCCTCACTAACAGTGACTTGGAACAGCACCGTTGGGCCTCACTGACCGCTTGGAGCAACTGCACTGGGCCTCACTGACCGCGAGTTGGAGCAGCACCATTGGGCCTCACTGACCGCGAGTTGGAGCAGCACCATTGGGCCTCACTGACCGTGAGTTGGAGCAGCACCATTGGGCCTCACTGACCGCGAGTTGGAGCAGCACCATTGGGCCTCACTGACCGTGAGTTGGAGCAGCGGCGCCGGCAGGAAGGCCGTGGTCGAGGCGGGAAATCCGACCACGACGCTGTCGCAGCTGTCGGCGTAGGCGGAGCAGTCGAGCACCGGGCTGCAGTCGTTCTCGTCCTGTCGGCGCACACGGAGCTCAGTAGTGAGCCAGGGCCGTGATCCGCGGCACACTGCTAGGGAGGCTCTGCGGCACAGCTCGGCCGTCACTCACCATCAGGCCAGCCTCTGAATCAGAATCTCGTCACCTGTCTATGAAGGAACGTTCACTTCACTCCCACGCAGGCCCGGGGTTTAACGTTTTTCGTCTCCTGACTAAAAGACAAGTCGCTCATATCAACATCCAATCGTACGAGCTCTTAAAGAATTGCGACAACCTTTTGCCGACCACCGATCGTGGGCGGTCGTAAGTGGTCGCATCGCCTAGTGGGACCGGGGCTTAATATTTGCGATAGCTCCCGAACGCTTACGGATAGGAGCGCGAAACTTTCAGTGCCATTTCGTCCATTGATTTGACATCTTTCTGGAGTAATAACTTTGGACGTCGCTATCTTGATGACGCCACAGTCTATTTTTATACCCTTGCACGACAAAATTCGATGTCATAGCGGTAAATTTCAAACAGCTGCTAAGAATAGTTTAAAAGATGTAGACAAATATGGAGCACATTTGTGTAATATATGGATTAAAAAATACAAAATTATTTTCTTTCCATCGTTACATGATCCATAAATAGGGGCCGGTTAATTGGAGCATATTTCAAAATCATTCGGGATTCGGTGCACAGGGTAAACGAAATCTGCGGAGTTTGAGATAAATTTTTAGCATGGCCTTGACATTTGAGCATATCATTGGGTTATTTCAAATGTCTTCTATCGTTTCCAACCAGTTCTGCCCGATTTTATGGCATCCTGCCATCCTCTGGGACTGGAGCACATCAACTTGAGATCACTGCACATATGCTAGTTTTTGCCTTTGACTCTTATCTCCGTTGTAAATGAATGTTAGATGCTCGGAAACTGTCTCGTGTAAACTGTACATTTCCACCCAAACAAACATAAAAAACTAGAAGTAATTAATTCATCAATCGATTTGGTATGGGTATCTTTGCACGTGTGTTGCACTTTCCTATAAAAAAAGCCTGAAGCATGCGTTACCACTGTGCGAAAACCCACCATAATGTCGACGATAATGAGCGTTTCGTCCCAGTCGACGATGTCAGTGCGGTCGGTCTGATTCTTGGGTGTTCCTCCGGCGGGAATGGCCTGCACCAGCAGAGACACCTGCCCGAGAGGACACACCAGCGCCGCCGGATGAGACATCCGGATCGACGGCATCCGCTTCCCGAACAACGCGATCCAACAGATACACCGCCATTGACTTGCAATGATGGCAATCGAAGGTTTTGTCAGTGGACCAAAAGCTTCCCGTATTGAATGTGTAGTAACGTTAAGATTATTAGCACCGCGTTTTTCTCACTGAAGATGAAATGTCTAACCATGGAAGTATAGCTGAAATAATAGGCATGTATACGGGAAATTATAAAACGACATGATGCAGTTCGGAGAGAAGCCGACTCACCTGCTGGTAGCCAAGTTTCGCCTTCTTGGAGAGTGTTCCAGTGGACTCATCGAGAGCAAAGCTGTCTTCTGGAAAATGCACGGCTTTTGAATCAGTGACGTTCATGATCGCTGGTGATCCATGATTCGATGCACAATGTACCTACATGGCTCTAAGACAAAAAATAGCGTGCATGCCGGCAGTCGTTCTACATACATAGGCAGGTACTAATTACATTCACTACGCTTTTATATGTCGAATGCTGTTTCATCAATTCATCCCACGCAATGAGCTGGGACAGAACAGCCACTACGATATGTGAATGCTCGTAAGATGCTAGTATAATAAACCACTGTCGTATACTGGGGCGCGTCACCCACCGTAACCGGGCGTGCGCAGGAAGTAGGTGACGGCTCCGGCCTCGGGGACGGCCGCCACCGTGGTCACCTCGCCGCTGAAACTCTCCGAGCTGTTGGCGAACCACTGGCGCTGCACAAACAGCGGACACACCACCGGACTCGGACTCGGACTCGGACTCGGAGTCGGAGTCGGAGTCGATGACGGCGCAGCTGTGACGTCAGAGAGGACCTGTAATTCTCACAGAGGATACATGCAGGCAGCGACGACCCACACATCCGACCTGACTCTCCCCGTGACCAACCCATCCGCAGGCGCCCTCGGTCACACCATGTCCGGACTGCCGGTCATCACTACCTAACTACCGGTGGAAGTGAGGGCACGCCCTGGATTACACCACATCCTCTCCGGAGTCACCGTTTGAGGGCAAGGAGGGAGGGGAAGAGGCATTGAGGACTGTTCCAGCGCAACTGTCTGCCTCTTGTTGATTATGGTTACGGATGTAGGAATCCCTGAGAAGAGTCGAATGTCATGGCAAGGCAGCAAATCACGTCTACATTACAGTAAGCGGCACATAGTGAAAGCACCCCGCTAACGAGCCCTGCATTTTCTGTGTCAGATGTTCATGTCTGTGTTCACCGCCGGCCGTACCTGACGTCGGCACGGTTGTTGGTGATGTTCCCGGCGATGTGACGGTGGTGTCGGCAGATGTGGCCGCTGTTGTGTCTGTGCTTGTTGGCGACGTCACAGGAGTGTCTGTGCTAGTCTGTGACGTCACCGGTGTGGGTGTTGTCCCGTCCGGTGTTGTCTGTGCCGTTGTCCCCGTCGGCTCCGGTGTTGTCTGTGCCGTTGTCCCCGTCGGCTCCGGTGTTGTCTGTGCCGTTGTTCCCGTCGGCTCCGGTGTTGTCTGTGCCGTTGTTCCCGTCGGCTCCGGTGTTGTCTGTGCCGTTGTTCCCGTCGGCTCCGTACTCGAAGACGTCACCGGGGTGGGTGTTGTCCCGTCCGATGTTGTCTCCGTAGCTGCCGTAGTGGGGGAGGAGCTCGCCTCCGTGCTTGTAACGGGCGTGGTGGACGTGGGGGGCGCTGTAAGGTCATGAAGAGACAATCATATACCAACGGCAGACAGGGCGCTGTCGGGTCACAGATAGAAGACTACAGATCGGTCACTGACAGACTGAGGATAACATGAGAGACGGACGGGACGCCGTAAGGCCACAAATACAATAACAAATCAATAACAAACGGGGCGACGTAAGGCCACAAATATTGTATCACACCAAAGACAATGCCACTCCACCTTCACCAGCATATGTATATATTGTAGGTACATGAAGAAAACATCACATGTGGGTATCCCGGTGAAAGATTGTTTGCTGAATTATTAGAAATTGCAGTGACTAAAAGGTTCTAGAATTTAACAATTCACCTGTGGTGGTGGTAGTCAGTGCAGGAAGTTTGATGACCAGCGCCGAACGGCATGTAAAATGATATCCTCCATCTTCTTGGGCCTGCAAGGAAACCAATGCCATTATATATAACCTCAAATTTTTCGGGCCTAAGAAAGGCAAACATACCAATAAAGGCTAAGTACCTAGGCCAGCGCTCCGCTAGGAAATCCAGATGCTGCTGGTTTCAAGAGTTATTTCAGCCTTTCAAATTTTTGAGTCTTTAGAGAAATGTGGTGGGCCTTTTTGTAATGCATAATTTGGCAAATTTGCTGATATGGAATTGTTAACACGCGCACCGACAGGGGGATATCCGCCCCCCTGAGGTTTTTCGCGAATAGCGGGAAAACCGCGGCGCGTAGCGCCACGAAATTTCGTACGACTATTCTCTCATCAATTTTACACATGGTGGGCAAGTTTGAACCTCCTAACTTTTAAGGTCAGGTCACCAAGTCACTTTGAATGACCCAACCTCAAGTCACTTTTTTGCAACTTTGTCACCGTACCAGAGCTACAGTAGATGTCGGAGGCCTTTGAAAGTCGCAGGATGTTATAAGGTCATTAGTAGCTACAATTTGTATATCTCGGAATTTTGATATCGATGACCTAAGGTCAGGTCAATTTCTCGACCTCCCCATTATAAGTCAATGGAGGAAAAATCAACTCCCTGTTTTTACCACTAAAACGGGTCGGAATGGCCCCATAAACCATACATGACCTCATATACGATCAACCTTCACTACCTTGAGGTCTGTTTTGCTGTTGGGCAGCTGTAAGGTCATGTGACGTCATCAAAGGTCAACAGCGGTTTTTTGACAATAACTCCGTACAGGAACAAGATACAGCCACGCGGATGGTCTCATTGTGCTCAGCTCGTCAAGGCGCATCGAATGATATACATGATGACCTCGAGGTCACGTGACCTGAGGTCAACCTTTGACCTTGACCTTTCGAGGTCAACATACATATCATTCGATGCGGATTGACGAGAGGATCACGATGCTGCCCTTAGTTTGTTTCTATATTGACTAGTCCGAAAGTTATTCGAGAAAAACTCTTTCCATACCTAGCGCCGCCATTTTGACTTTTTTGACCCCTGTGACGTCATCTGTGACCTGACCTGAAAATTACCTTTGTAAAAATTGTAGACCTTGTCCGGACGTATCCCTTGCCGTTTACCGCTTGTCGCTATCTTGCTTCGTTCTCGAGATCTCAGGGGGGGCGGTCATCCCCCCCGTCGGTACGAAGTTGGCGCAGACCCCCGTCGGTGCGCGGGTTAAGACCCACGCTGGGCCGGGGGGGGGGGGTGTTTGGTCACGTCCCTTGCGGTTTTTCGCGGTTATTTCAAAAACGGCGGTCTGGCACACCTGTTGACCGGCGCCACACTGGAGTCTGCGTATAACACGCCCTACTGAGAGGGGGGCTCTTCATAGCCCCCCTCCTAACTCCAAAACTACTGAACTGATCGTCAAAGTTCAAACGGCGTCTGATAGCCCCGGAAAAACTGTAGAACGTAACCTAATTTCATTGACCTCGAGGTCACCGATGACGTCACAGGTCAGGTGAAAGTAAAAATTATTAGCATTTTGGCTTGTTCACACTTTGGGCTCTGGCCGCCGTCTTATAAGTCAGATCAGGCTTATTTTTGGTTTACACACTCGTGAAGAGATGCTTTAGATACCCTGAGGGTACCAAATTTGTACTTTGAATTTCAGGTCAGGGTGAGGTCATCTCAGGTCACGGAAATATTATATCATGCGTCGGTCACGTGACACATGTTTTATGGTCCATTTAGGCCATAGATTTCGAATTTGATGTCGTTTGTGTCATTTGACGTCATTCTGAGTTGAATTTAGCTTAGGTTAGGTCACTTTCATGTAAAAAAGGTCAACTTTTTAAGCTAGAGTTTGTCAACAAAAAAGGTGTCTATTGGATGCCGTTTGAGCTCAAAAACACGATGGTGCTATTTATATTGGTGTACGATGTCAAATACGTACTGAAAAACTGATTTGGGAAGCTTATAATTTTGATTTTTTGCAATAATGCGTATAACTTGGCCATATTTGAAGATATTTTGCTATAAGTTGCTAGAGTAAGTTATAAGCATGTGTTCTATCATATATATTCCGATTTTTTCGAAAAGTCAAAAAGTTGCATTTAAAATATAAAAATATAAATTTTCAATTTTATTATATAAAATTTTCAAAAATTTCAAAATTTTGAAAATCCGAGATAGCAGTTTGATAGCGCATATTCTGAGTCCTCTCATGCAAAGAAATTCCGCACATGTTTTAACAATTTCAGACCCAGGGGTCAGGTCACCAGGTCACTTCAAATGAACACACCTCAGAAAAGTTAGAATCCTCGTCATAGCTGCACCGACTGAACGATCGCTTTGAAACTTTCAGCGATTGATAAGATTGACAGTATATACAAAAAAAATATCTCGGAATTTTGATATCCGTGACCTTAGGTAAGGTCAATTTTACAACCTCCCCCTTAGGTATGTACAAGTACCTAAATGGGAGAAAATTAAAAAGCCTTTTTGGACGAACGTCATTCCGAACACTCAAACATCGGGTTACACGGAACCTTGCCAAGTGGAACCGAAAAATGACTCCCGTGACCTCTCTCTGTATGTGTTTCAGGTCACATCAGGTCATGAAAGGTCCCCAGCAGTTTTCTGACACTAGCTTTTGATAGAGACATGCAAGGGCGATGATGAAACCTCAGATGTGCTTAACTCGACGATACGGATCAACTGATATGCAACATGACCTTTTCCAGTTGGGTCATGACCTCGACCCGAGGTTGAATTTTCAAAATGACCTTTCAAGATCAGATTATTGTTTATTTGACGCGTTTGGACGAGAAAAACAAAAAAACTTGCAAAATAAATGTCACTTTCTCATGAGTCATAAGTTATTGCATAGAAACGTTTTCATTAAAACTGCTATTTTGGAGTTTTTGCCCTCTGCAGGCTAAGTCGTTGACGTCAGGTCAAATTTGAGGACGTGTTGCAAAAGAACGTTGAAAGAGCTATCGAATGCGCTTTTCCGCGGCGCTGTAGCTCTTTTGGTTCCCGAGTTATGCGCCGGTTTTCGAAAATTGTTGAAAAGGCGAACTTTGACCTTTGATGACCTCTGTCGACCTGACCTTTGACCTGACCTAAAAATTGCTGGACAGTTCCTTGATTATTTTTTACGGTCTTTTGAATGCCGCTTACTGCATGTCGCTACGCGGCAGATATGTGCCTGGATCCGAGAGAATGGATCTGGGATCTGATCTCACGGATCCTGATCTCGGATCCGACGGGATCATAGATCCAGTGCTGTAATTTATCGGGGGATTTGTTGGGATCATCGATCCGAGTCTAATTTTTGTTTGAAATCCAGTGAGATCATGACATAGATCCTCGTTTTACCCTTGCCCCGTCGCGTTGGCGGGGGAGGCTAATATGGCCCCATGTGTTTTTTCCTGAATAGCAAGACAGCGGCGGCGCGCAGCGCCGCTAAATTTTCAGTACATTCCCGATCATCAATTTGACACCTTCACACAAAATTTCAAGTCTTAGGTCACCTTAGGTCAGGAGTTATAGAGGTCAAACTGAGGTCATGTTCGAGCAAAAATGAGCAAAAATTACGAAATATTGAAACGCTCACAAAAGCTACAGTTAACGAGCAATTTCAAAGTTCTTTATGTGGTCGTGTAGAGCAAAGACAAACATCTGACTATCTATATCAAACTGCTATCTCGGATTTTCAAAATTTTAGGATTTTGCCCCAAATATAAAATGATTTTTTTTAGTAAAACGCAAACAAATCCCACGGAATATATATGATACTCCCTGCGCTCTTCTATCTACATACCAACATTTTTGATCGGCACCTCCTTCTTGGCCAAGTTATAGCGAAAAACTGTTCAACATTGATGATGTCACATTTTTAACTCATTTTGTCAATTCTAGACCACGTAGTACAAAACAAAGACCACCATTAGACTCCCCGTAACGAGCTGCATCGAATCAGTACCAATTTTATGCAAAAATATCAAGTTTGAAATTTGACCTAACCTTGACCAGACCAGACCTTCACCCGAACATAACTTAACCTTCGCCCCAGTGGGGGGGGGGGGGCATATGCATAGGCGGCGGAACGGGGGGGGCACCGGGGCACCGTGCCCCCCTTGAATTCTGCAAGGGGGGCACCAATAGCAAGGTGCCCCCCCCTTAAATTTGATGTATTAGTACCAGGGGCGGATTCGGGAAAACTCCAAGGGGAGGGTCATGAATCGAAGTGGTGCCCCTACCTATACCCAAAATTAAAACCTCAACGGATTTCGGCCACTTAATTTTGGTGGTGCCCTATTTTCAGTTGTTTTATTTTCTTTATTTTTGGTTAGTCATGTGATGACTGGTGCCCCTGCTAGGCCGCTGGTGCCCCTGGAAAGACTGTGGTACCTACCTACCCTGCCCCCTGACAAGCCTACGGTGGGCCCTGACATGACTTAGGTGCCCATGGGCCCTGACAGGCCCGTGGTGCCCCTGACAGGCCTGTGGTGTCCTTGCTAGGCCTGTGGTGTCCCTGGGCCTTGGCAGGTCTGTGGTGCCCCTGGCGAGCCTGTGCATGTGGTGCTCCTGTTAGAACGCAGGTGCCCTTAACAGGTTTGTGGTGCCCCTGACAATCCTAAAGTGCCAACGACAGGCTTGTGGTGCCCTTGACAGGCCCATGGTGCCCTTGCGAGGCCGGTGGTTCCCCTGTGAATTCGATAGTGCCCCTGGCAGGCCTCTGGTGCCCCTGGCAGGTCTGTGGTGCCCCTGGAAGACCTGTAGTGCTTTTGCTAGGCCGATGGTGCTCCTGACAGGCCTGCGGTGCCACTGATAGGCCCGTGGTGCCCCTGCTAGGCCTGTGGTGCCCCTGGCGGGCCTGTAGTGCCCCTGTCGCTGTCAGGCCTGTGGTGCTCCTGGCAGGCATGTGGTGACCCCAGGCCCTAAGTCATGACCCATGTGACCTCCCCCCTGAGATTCGCCACTGATAAGTACTGCGATGGCTTCTTGGGAATTT